TGCAAATGTAACTTCAGAAGTTCTCAGATTCATTAGATGGTCAGACCAGGTAGAACTATGCACAAAATCAAAATAGCAATCTGTTCATATGTCCTTCAATAACCATTAGCTCTTCATTAGTTGCATAACCTGTGTATATTTTGGATTCTTTACCCAAACGAATTTGCCAGTATCCTTTAGTAAGGTCCAACTCAGAAAAATACTGTTCATTAGTAAAATTACCGAGAGCATTCTCAGTTGTGGGTACTGGTTCACAATCAAAGTCAATGATATCACTGATAGCTCTGATATCAATACAAAATCGCCAAATTTGATCAGATTTCTTAACCATTGGAGAATAATAAGGGAATGCGGATGGTTCTATGAATTTCAAATCAAGCATTCACTCCACTTCCTTATTAGGTACATCAACAAGATTATGAGGAATAGGATATGGCTTTCTACAGACTACTTTCTAGCTTAATCACATGTTCCACAATAGTGGTAAATCCAGGTTTGTTTGAGAATACATCTGGAAACTCAGATACTAAACTTTTCACTTCATTTCAAATTGCAGCATGTGTTGTCGACAGTATATGAGTCATTAGCCTCCTCTTCCACAATACACATTTTCATCAGAAAGATCACCACGACGAAAGTACTTCTTCAACATACTATGGTATAATTTGATTTTTCCTCTGATATAGTAATCATCATTATCTCAGCAATCAGCCACACTATATGGTCCATGCCATTGCATTATCAATTTCAATTTGAAGGGAGAACAAGTACCTTATCAGCATTTAATTTACGAATTTTATATTTTAAATCAAAGTAAGCTTTATAGTATTTTCTACTGATTTCTGTCTGAGAAGTAGCTGGTTTTGTTCTCTCTTCTAGGCGTAACCTCAAGTCTAAGACATATTGATATGTAGTTTTAATATCACAGTCTATGGTATTATTGGTCCAAACTTCATGTAAGATAGTTAAGGGACCTCTAACTTGTCGCTCGTAGAGAAGTTCGAAATGTGAAAATTTGAGTCGTTCAGAATCTCTCAATATGCAAAAAAAAAGAACAACTGGAATATATCTGTCTCAATCTTGTGGATGATCACAACTTTTTAAGCATTGACTTCAGGACACCAATTAGACGTTCTATAGCACCATTACAACAAGCATGATAAGTTGTGGTGTACAGAGCTTTCACTAATAACAACCTATGAATCTCACTCATAGGATCCGATCTAAATAACTGGCTTCTGTCTGAAAGCATTTCTTTGGGAATCCCACCCTCGAAAAGATCTCAACTAGACTTTCACCAATTGTGAGGGTGTCAATGTTTTTTCAGGGGAATCGCCTTAGGAAAGCGTTGCATAATCAATGAGAGTGAGAATGTATTTGTATCCTACTCACCGCGCCACCTTTAACATTTCATTATCCAGATCCCATTTTTAATAAAGGAGTATAAAAAATGTATTTCTCATGCCATATATATTTACAGATAAACAAATAAACAAGATTATACATAAATCCAGCAATATTTTTTTTACAATGATACTGGTGCGCAAAAATAATTTCTTAGAAGGGGGCAACCACAAACGATAATCCAGACCATGCGCCGTTAAGTCTATCCAGCCTATGTTGATAGTGTTGTATCAAAAGAAAAAATTATAAATAAATAATAGTTTTCCGCTACAAAAGTAAAATTGATAAATATACAAATGGCGGCCACTTATGAGATGATTCACAGCACTCACATAAGCAAGTGCTATGGTGGTGACCAATTACCCCCTAGGGGCTCTGTTGACAATATATTATATATATATATATATATATATATATATATATATATATATGTATAGATGGATGAATACTATATTAATATGATGAAGAAATAATCTTTCTCGCTCTAACCACTGAGAAGCTAGTTAGCTCCTAGTTACACACTCCTATTGTAGTTACCTGCAACAGCGGTGAGAGTTCGGATCGCGATTGGAGAGGGTATTTATTCATCACAGTGCGGTAGTACACACACTCCCACAGGGAGTGTGTGTAAAACTTCACTATCCTTACTCATGTAGAGGTAGATAGGTAATGTCTATGGAAGCTAGTTAGCTCCTAGTTGCACACTCCTGTTAGTGGGTCGCGTATCTCAGTCGTTAGAGCTTCCGCCTTGCATTTACCCGTCTGCAACAGCGGCGAGGGTTCGAATCCCGATCGGAGAGGTTATTTAGTCATATTGATATATGTATATATTATATTGTCGTATATCAAAACGTAGTGTGGTAGGCGTGGCAAAAGTTCTTTATAGATATACTTCCATACGGTTGTTAAAGATAATGAAAAAAGAAGCTAAATGTTATGCATTTTCTATCGCTCATTACTTTCGTAACTAAGTTGTTTATCTTTACTCATTGTTCATAGTGTAATTAATCTTCATATAATTTAATTATCTTTAATTGTCTTCATTTATTATTTCTTAGTTAATACTATGAGCTTATTATTGACCATTTTCCATAGT